AGAGTCAATCAACCATTCATGCTCAGACAGGGAATTTCTCACAGAATTAACATGGTCACAAACCATCAAAATATCACCTTCTCAACTTTAAACAAAACAAGCGAGTTTTTCAGGATTTTCATACAACCATTCCCCCATTTTCCGTGTAACCCACTACTCTCCAAAGCAGCAACAGATAACAAGTTATGACACAAATCAGGGACATGCCTCACATTCTTAATGGTAAACACAGAGCCACAAGAAAACTTCAGACATATATCACCAACACCAAGCACATTGCATCTCTTATTATCAGCTAAGGAAACGTAGCCACTATCACATAATTCATAAGTAGAAAACAAATCTCTAAAGGGGGACATGTGATAGGTACAACCAGAGTCAATCAACCATTCATGCTCAGACAGGGAATTTCTCACAGAATTAACATGGTCACAAACCATCAAAATATCACCAAGGTCACATTTATCAACAGCTACACTAGCATGCTCGGTCTTCTTAGGGTGGGGGCAATCCTTAATGAAATGGCCAGTGTTACCACAATTGTAACACACTCTCTTCCTAGATTTACTCCTCTTCCTCCCAGGCTGACTAGCGTTCTTACCCTGACTATTTTGCTTAGGATTCTTAGACCTACCCTTAGATCTACCCCTAACAAACATAGCCTCACCGGAGTCCCTGGACTGACTAGCACTACCCCTAGCATGCTTCAGGTCTAATTCCTTACTCCTTAACCCATTCACAACAATGTCTAACGAAATCTCATCCCTACCATACTTAATAGCGGACTTAACATCATTATAAGAGTCGGGAATGGCATTAAGTAATACTATGGGAGTATAATCATCTATGTGTTTATCACCTGCCTGTTTGATATTCTGTATCAGTTTATTAAACACATCCAGGTTCTCATCTATATCCTTAGTCAGGTCAAGCCTAAACCTAAAGAATTTCTCTAGTAAGAACAACTTTCCGGGTAAAGAGGTATCAGTATAGAGCTTATCCAATTTCTCCCACAACTCCTTAGCGGACTCAAGAATACCCACTTTCCTAAGCACAGAATCAGACAGATTCAAGTAAATAGTAGAACAAGCAGTTTCGTTCATTTCAATTTGCTTAGCCTTATCTTCTGATTCAAGGAAAATACCAGTGACAGCTCTATAAACTTTTTGCTGTATTAAAACACACTTAATTTTCTGTTTCCAAATATCAAAATCTGTTTTTCCATTAAATGGAAGCATACCATACTGATTCGCAGCCATGGTATCAACCACAAAAGGAACACAAAGCTAAACAGACTGAAATGGCAGAAAAAATAATCCAGCCTGGGTTATAAAGTATTCACTTTAATAACCCCGACAGCATGCAACACATAGCAAAAATGGACATTTTGACAGTTAAACAATTCCGGGCAGAAAAATTAAAATTAATTAATTCTACCCCTACCACCCAATAAACCACCCCTACGCATAACAATTAAATTAAATAACACTAAGTAATTTAATTAATCAATTAAAACAAACTACCACAAAGGAGTGAGTTTAGAAAACGTACCTGGGGGGTTGGCGACCGGGATTAAATCAACCGGCGGCCCGCGGGGAGGGGGAATAAATTAAAATTAAAACCGAAATATAACAAATGGGAAGTTTAAAGAAAACTTACCTTCGCGAAACCCTAGGAGAGTGTTTCGACCTTACCTACCCAATTTTAAAAAATTGGGATTTTTCTGGAGGGTTGACCGGTGTTGACCGGCGTTGACCGGTGTTGACCGGCGTTGACCGGCAGTTGACCGGTGGTTGACTGGTTGACCAGTTGACAAGCCCAGCTCAGCAGCTCCAGCCCCCAGCCCAGTCCCAAAACAGCAGTTCAACAGCCCAAAATCAGCCTAGCAGTAAGTCAGCACTGGGCCCAAGTAAGCAGTAGTTCAACGGCCGAAAAACAGTCTGAGATTGAAGCTACTGCACTCGTCCAGGCCTTAAGCTTCAGGTCCACTTCCTGCAGCTACAGTACACGTTCAGTCCAAAGGAACCCAGAGGCCCAGGTTCCTTCGTCACTCCTCCGCGAGAGAAGAAACACCAGCGCGAGCTCCAGTCCTTCTGCGAACCACAAATGTCGCAGGCTAGAGGCTTCGACAGACGAGCGATGACAGGCGACCGGTGGTGGCGAACGGCGAGATATTTCCGGACGGCGAGCTTCTTTCCCAGCGGCGGCGAACTTCCCTGCGGCGGCGAGATTTTGGCGGCGAACTTCTGGCTATGGTGGTTTGCCTTCTGGCGAGCTCAATTTCAGCGGACAGGGATCTCAGCCAGCTCGTGCGAGCGACCAGACAGCTCCTGAGACCTTTGGTGAGCTCCAATCGTCGGCGGGTGGCGTACGGCGGCGGCGTACGGCGGCAACGGCGGCAGACGGCGGTTCCAGCTCTGATACCACTGTTAGGATCGGATTCCGTCTCCGGCTCAGGACTCCAACCTTCTAAACTAAACTAACACACACCACTCTAGGACTAGGCCACTCCATCTCCCATGTTTACTCACTCTTCTTCACTCCACTAAGGAACTCTCACACAATGGGAAAGGAAGAAGGAAGACACTGCACAAGTATGTTCTCTCGCAGGCTTATCTCACAAAGAGGAGGAGTGTTGACTTTATAATAGGCTGCCTGCCTATTGAGAAGTCACGGGTAGGAAAAACAAGGACACTCACGGGTGTAAGCCAAGACAATCAAAGGGAGCAGCGGACAGAAGATGGGGCAGATTCCAGGTAAGTCAAAGGCCACCAATGAGTGATTTCAATTCAGGGAATCAAAGTGGGAGTAAACATGGGGTGCAAGCCTAAATAATAAAGTGGAAGGGGGGCCTTGGTAGGACCAATACCTCCAACAATTTAAATAGCGCCCCCCCCCCCCCCACCACTAACTCAGTGGAATAACTTGCCTTTTTTGGAGAGCTCAAAAGGTCTGCATATTTTGCCAGGTCAATGCTGTTCTTAATGTACCAGGCGGGAAGGGAGGAGGAAATAAACTTCCGCAAAATGGCGTGCCATCCTCTTTACCAGTGTGAATGAAAAGAATGTATTTGGTGCTAAATTTAGCATAAGTTCAGCTTCCTGTAAAATTTCAAAATTAAATGCATCGTGTATTTCTTCTCAAGAAAAAAAAACATGCAATTGTGGGATATTGGCACAAAATATGAATTAAGCTTCTAAAACTACAATTATTTTAAGGCATGGCCATTTACTTTAGTGGAACCATCATTGTCATGGATGACAACTCTGTATTCCAAAACTGCAGCAGTATAAGGAGTACCACTGGTTGCATCCTCTTCACCTCGGAGCAACTTATCCAACTCAGGCCACATAGTCTCCCGCCTGCAAATCCAATTTGAGATTACACATCCGGCAGCATAAAAATCGAGAGAAATAGATTGTTATGTAATTAATATTAAAATAATCTCAAAATTTGTTTATCTCTCTCAATCATCATCTTCAAATAATCTGATTTCTCTGTCCTGTATTAATCTCTATTATATATACTTTTCTAATAATCTTAAAATAATCTGGATTCATATTTTGATCCCAAATTATTGTAGCAAATAATAATCCGGATTCATTAAATAATATAAGTTACTCAATGATAATTCTCTGAAAAACTGTCATGTCATCAATTTAATCCCATAATAATCCTACCAATGTGGATGCCCTTACCTAAAAATATTACTCCGAAGGGGTCAAGGGAAAATAGTCCCAAATAGGACTAAATTGTTGCTGAATAGGATTATTCTTCCAATTTTAACCCTGCTATTCAATTCAAACATCTGGCATCTTATAACCTCCGTATTACGCTCACTTGGTCTTTATTGCGCATAGCAGAACTTCAACGCCAAGTGGTGGGTAGCAGCTAGCGCCGGTGAGTAACTAGTGCCGGCGTCCGGCCAGCAGCGCCGGCGAGTAGCGGCAGAGAGCGCCGGCGAGCAGTGACAGCCAGCGTCAGATCTATTTTCCTCGCATCCTCCGATCTTCATTGTTTTGTTTAAATCTGGCCCGGTTGTGGTAGAGACAAGTCTGGGTCTTCTTCTCTCTTGTTGTTGAGCTTTACGGTAGTTTTTTGTTCTTCATGTTTGAGTTGTTGAAATAAACCAGGTTTGGTTAACAATTGCCAATTTTTTTCGAAAATGCCATTAAAATGGCAATCTTATTCCTTAAAAATTTCAGATTTTTCAATGAAAATGCCATTAAGATGTCATTTCGATTCATGTTGGCATTCTCATAAAAAAGATTGCGTAAGTTGTGGCATCGGTTAGATCTATTGTTGCGGTGGCCTGATCAGGCCACCTCCACCATAGATCAGGCCAGTATAAATTGGTGCTCTTCTTTTGATATTTTCCGTCATTCAACTTTCGTATAAATGATTGTTTTTTCTCATACTATCAGTGACATTTTTAGTCATCCAATTATTGTGACAAAATGATAGTGGAAGCATTAAAACAATCAATCTGACAATACTCAGAGGACTTCTTTGAATAAATTAAAGGTGGGGAATTTCAAAGTTGGGGACTGAAAGACTATGTCGCAATATTCGAAAGATTAAAAGTAACAAAAATCAAAATCGAATACCCAAATTGTACGTCATTCACACAATAGTCGAGAGACATATCAAACCAAGAAAGGTGTTTGTTGGTTAAAACTAACATGGTCATTGAGGGAAATGTCTTTAGATTAATACGTTTATCACACGAGTTATAATCATTTATACCTACTAAATAAACACATCAAAATTGAGGGTAACCATATGTATAATGAAATAATGACACAAATATAATTAGTTGAGTTTCCATGGACAAATATACGATTACTAGCACGGGCACACGCGTTGTGCGGGGTTAATGACCAATGGTAACAAAACATTGTAAGCAAAAAGTGATAAACATGAAAATAGCAAACATGAATAAGGTACCATGCACCCATAAAGACACTAAGCAATAGGAACATGATGTTTATAAACAATAGCTGGCATACATAAGGGCACCAAGCGAGCATGCATATGGTGGCAGTTGAGCAAAAAAGGATGCCTGCCAAGTTAGCTAAAAATGTTACCCTTACAGGGCTTCATGATATGGCAAGCTAGCAGTACACACAACTGCTTGATCACCAAAAGCAGCAGGGGTAGTGTTGTAGCATAAGTGCATGTTATACAAAACCAAGTCACAATCAAATCTTTTCAAGTAAAGACAGAAATTCAAGCAGTTATCTTTGATTTGATCACATAAGTGTGGCTCTTCGTGGGTGGCTCCTCTACACCACAGACTGAGATGGCCAACATATGTACTTTGCCACGACCATTCTTGAAGAACACCAAACTCCTGCGGGGATGTATTTCGAACTCCTCCTAAACCTGTTGCAGTATAGTCTTCACGTTAGGATAAAAATGTTCCTCTACAGACCCGTAGTGAACGTGCACTCCACGTTTCAAGCTACAATAGCCAACCAGGAAAGCCTAGAAAAGTGTGAGGATAAAAATGTTCCTCCTCACACTTTTGCTGCGTTGAATATCAGAAACACAACTGTAAGTATCTGCGAAATCAAACAGGAATAGGTAGAATACGGAAGACAAACCTTAGAAGTTCTTGCAGGTATATAAACAAAGGACCGTGGATAGAACAATTTTTTGTAAGAGAGATCATTAATAGCAGAACGCACAACGACTTCGAATTCACCTGTCAACAAAGCCACGAAACAATGGTTAAAAAACACGCTGCAAGCAGTAGTGAAAAGTACCTTCAAGTTACAAGTTATAATGTAACACTGACCTAGACAGGCTGGACTGTCATAGCTTCACGGACCGATGCTACATCCAAAACCAGTGAAAACCCCTCCACGTCATATAGGAAGGTTTCAAAAGAGAATCCACCAACATGACGAAACAAGAGGTAGCTGGGCAACATAACATTCTTTTTGAGGAGGAATTCGTCCACGTCGTCGAAGAAAGTCAAGTCATCAAACCTGACATTCCAAGAACCACCCCCACACACATGCCTCACAAGAGTCTTCGTGTGTTCAAAGAGGTGACGTTGCATACAACCAGGGAGCCGCTGGCAAAAGGACAATCTAAGTGTTAGTCAAGTAACAGCATTACAGGGGAATCAAAACGGACAGTAGCAAAGCTTACCACCACATAGTCAAGGTCATAAATGTGTATTGCAAACCATGTAATAACGTACTTCATCACATCCGGGTGGTGGAAAGTTGGAAACCGAGGACAACCTGGAAAGATAGTGATTAATATAGATAAACAACCCTTCATGATTTCTATTTTTTCTCAAATTAAGAATCATACGAACAACTGGGTTCTTAGTTTCAAACATATCAAGGTGCGTTCAATCAATTCAATCCTTTTTTAGGAGCGACTGATTCCGCCAGGATTTAAAATCCCTTTGATTTGTATTCGGTTAATTAGATGGAGGAAATCCAGAGATCGAATGAAGTTAAATACAGATGCGAGTTACTTATCTCGAGCTTCTAATGGCGGGGCCATTCTCAGAGATTCATCGGGGAAGATGGTGGTAGCCATTAACTTCCCAATTGCTGCTTCATCTGTGATAGAAACGGAGCTCACGACCATCTATACAGCTTGTAAAGGGATGGTGGACCATGGATTTGAAGGTTTTCAAGTAGAAACCGATTGTAGTATGGCGTTGGAGTTCTTGCAAAATCCTCAGGTAAGAAGATGGAACGATCTGATTTTGGAAATGAAGCAACTCGTAAACAGGAAAGCACTCTCGCTTGGTCATACGATGAAGGAAGGAAACTATATGGCCCATAATCTGGCGAAATTTCATTTGGGCCCATTGCAATTTTTTGACAGCCCAATTTCTCTTTTGATTTTGGCAAGGAGGTCCTATTACATGGATTACTTTGGCGTTCTGGCCTTACGCTATTAATCTCATTTCATGTATTTTATTTCGGGTCAGGTCTAGTCCCCTCCTTTATTTGTACTCTCTGTTTTATCTAATAAAATCTGGCAAATGTTCTCCGGCATCTGCCCTACTTATTTTGGTGGTTTGCCTTCCGGGGTAAAAAAAGAGAGTTAATACAGTGGAGCTTTTCAGGCCCTTTGTGTGAGTGACTGATCATTCTTCATGTAGAAGCTTACACAGAGTTTGCTCAATGTCATCCTTGCTCTAGAAATGGTTGGGTAATGATCAATGATACCATGAGGCCTTAAGAATTGATAATACTTAACCAATTCTTCAGCAGAAGCCAGTGGCGGATCTATGAATTCAGCTATGGGTGTTCATTTTTTCTATATTTAAAATTTAAAAAGAAAATAAATAATAAAACTAAATTCATACATATATACTAAGATATTTTTCAAAATTCTAGGTGTTCATGAGAACACCTTTGAACTAAAGTGGCTCCGCCACTGGCAGAAGCGCACGTTCACCGGCAGGATTGAGCTCAGCATGAGTGTCGTAACGGGTTGACAAAGTCAAGCCTGAAAACCAGTAATTAGTTAAGGACCAAGTATTATCTGAACAAACCAGTAACTCGACACGAAGGTCTCGGTTTTTTAGACTCCTTTATTATTGGTTTGATTGATCCTAGGCATGTTCTTATTTAATTTAACTGTGATTCCGATTTCCAACGTTTTGGCTGAGGAAGATTTGGTATTTTAGCGGTTTTGAAATCAGGGTTTCCAAACGGACTCCATATTTCATGCCTAACACCGATTCCCCATTACCCCTGTTTGGATTAGCCTTGAGAGTCTTCCCATTCATCTATTTGAAAAATCTACACTTTTTTCAATTGTTAGTTTTATTGGAAAACCTGTCAAAATAGATGTATCCATTTTGAGGCTATCCCGACCTTCAACGTCAAGGATATGTATTGAGCTGGATGTATCTGTTAACTGACCATCCAAAATCTGGATTGGTAATGGCTCCAACGGATTTTCTAACCTCTTACCTATGAAGATATTCCCTTATTTTACAATGGTTGTAAAACTTTTGGTCATTCTCCTAAAAATTGCAAAAATGGAAATTCCAGTACCTTATCTATACCAAATAAGGCAAACCCCAACCAAAGTGGCTTCCTTAAGTCTTAGCTAGTGGCGAAACTGGCCCGAAGCATCAACCAAATGATGAAAACCAGGCTACAATAAATGTTGTGGAGCCTACTGAAACTGGATTTGCTATTCCTGAGTTGGCTGCCCATGATCTTGCAGTCTCGTGCAAAACTACATTCCAAGCTTCAGTAAATGGTTTGGAATATACAGAACCTGAGCTTGCAGCTCTGGAGCCTCCACCAATCCATACTCCTCCTTGTGAGCACCTTTTAGAGTAGTCAATCTCTACCAATAAAGTTTCATGTGATAAGGGTTTGAAAACTACACCTTACACCGAAAAAACAAGAGCTACTGAAATTGACCCTCCCTTGTCCAATGATGCAATCAATAACGTTCAAGCGGAAGGGTCTACGGAGCCCCCACAACATTCTAGATGAGGAGACCCATCCGAAATCAACCCTTTGAATGAAAAACAAACCATCGAACCCACTAAATCTTTGGTTTATCCAGAATCTCAGCAGCTAATTATTCCCGATGATAATGAACCGGATAGTTTGTCCCTTATAGATATATCGGTCGAAGAGGAAGGATTCACTTATGTGGCCTCGAGGAAAAAAAAATTAGCCACCAACTCACATCAATTCTAGAGCCAATAATGTATAACAGGGGATACTGTCAACAAATTGTAACAAGGAGCAAAGCTAAGGCCGGTCATACAGAGTTTTAATACTACGTTTATCCCGAAGAACACAAATACAAATCACAGCACAAACTAGTGCAAGGACTGGGCTGGTACCGCCAAGCACATCCCGAGAAGAACGTATATCCTCCATATATTCAAAGGGCGATCAAATTTCATCACAAATACCACAAAGATCTATCTATACATGCCGGTCTCCCCAACCATTATAAATACTCAATAAACTAGTAGGCTCTATTCTCTTTAATTTATTTCCTTGTTGCTTGTTTCTTTTAACTCTTTCTCGAGTAGGCTTTGGTTTGGCCCTCCTACTCACAATACCTCTTTATTATAAATTTTCGGTGATCAGTTCTCTGGCCCTCACCCCACACACCTCTTTATTATAAATTTTCGGTGATGAGTTCTCTGGCCCTCACCCCAACACTTTCGCGTATTACACTGTTACCAGGAAGGAAAAAAAAGGTTACACAAAGTGTGCGGACAATAGGGCAGATAGGGCATTGGGGTCACTATTTATATATCACAGCTAGTGATGGACCGAGCCCCGATTGGGCCTAGGCCCTACGGGCTTTTTGGCGTTTGGGGTTAGGCCCAGAACCGGCCCAGGTATCCACCGGGTCCGGTTCGGGCCGGGCCGGGCCGGGCTTGGGCCTGTTTATAATTTTTTTTTGCTTTCCTAACTACCCCTGACCCCCCACCCCCTACGGCCCTACCCCCAAACCCCCCAAAACACCTTGGTGACCCAGCCCAACCTAGGGGAAAGCAAAAAAGAATTGAAAAACCCAAAAAAAAAAAACAATTGGCCCGAACCGGACCCAGACCCGGCCGGTTCGCATTTCCCTTAGCCCGTACCCGCCCCGGTTACCTCCCACAAACCGGGCCTAGACCCAAAACCGGTTCCCAGACTGGGCCAGGCCCACACAATACCGGGCCGGGTGGCCCGCACCAAGTCCAAGCCTAATCACAGCAAGCAAGCAAGCCAAACCTCTTCCTTATAGTGCATATATAGTGTGAAAGACATTGGAATATGCTGTATAATATGCTTTAGAATATTCTTCTATCTTTAGAATATGCTTTAGAATATTTTAGGAATATACTCTAAGATATTATTATTGTATAGCATCTTATAGGAATATTCTATCTTTGTAATGTATATATATAGGGACTTATCCCTCCAATGAAATACACAGAAAATTCTTCCATTCTCATTACTATTATATGCTTAATTCTGATAACATGGTATCAGAGCCTCCATTTCAGTTTAGTTCCTTTTCTTTTAGATTTTAGCTTAGTTTTTCATACTGGGTTCTTCCTCAAAGAAACCCGAGTTCAGTTCAGATTCTTCAGAACCTCTAGGCACCATTCTGTCTCCCAGAAACTCACCCCAGGACAGATTTATTTTAGCCCTCTCTATTCAGAATCTCTGCCAGGTCCGACCATCTACCCGGCGAATTTCCGACTCCGACAATTACTCATTCAGTCTGTGGACATACGCACACTATTTCATGTGGCTGATTATTCGTTGGGGTCTGGCATCTGACTTATGTCTGGAGTAGCAGTCAAAGCCCAAGCAGATTGTATCTTTTGTTCTCAAGCCCAAAACGGGCTGCTGTAAGTTCTCATTAAATTAAATATCTCAATTTTAAACTTTATTACGGTCTCAAAAAAAAAAGAAAAAAAAAATGCCTGGTTCTGACACTGACACCTCCGCAGTAACACAAAGTCAGCCTTTGATAGTTTCTGAAGTTATTCCCATTAATTTTAAAATTACTGAGAATAAACTTTGTGGCTCCAATTATTTTGAATGGAGTAAAGCTATCAAACGTTATTTAAGGAGTATTGATAAATATACCCACTTACTTGATGACCCGCCAAAGGAGGAGGTTGATAAAGCTGCTAATACTGCCTGGCTTCGTGACGATTCTAGATTATTTATCCAGATTCAAAACTCAATGGAGAATGAGGTAATGGGGTACGTTAGTCATTGCGATGCTGTGAAAGAATTGTTTGATTATTTGGAATTTATGTATTCTGGAAAAGGTAATCTTAACCACATCTATGAGGTGTGCAAAGCCTTTTACAGAGCAGAAATGAAAGATAAGCCTCTCACGGCTTATTTTATGGATTTCAAGAAAACCTATGAAGAGCTGAATACATTAATGCCATTTAGTCCTGATATCAAAGTGCAGCAGAAACAAAGAGAACAAATGGCAGTGATGAGTTTTTTGGCTGGTCTAACATCTGAATTTGAAATAGCCAAATCACATATCTTATCTAGTGATGAGGTCTCTTCTCTTCAAGAGTCTTTCACTAGAGTGCTTCGCACCGATACTTCATCCACACCATTAGCACCTCAGTCAAGCAATGCATTTGTAGGGCAAGTTCCGACATTCACCAGAGGAGGTGAGAAATATCCACGTACTGGTCCATCTGGCAAAGGCATAATATGCAACTATTGTAAAAAGCCTGGACACTTGATCAAAGATTGTAGAAAATTAAAATTCAAAAATCAAGGAAATCAGGTTGCTCACATTGCTTCCGTTACACAGTCTTCTGATGGATCAATAAGTATGTCTTCTGAGGAATACACCAAATTTCTTTGCTACCAAGAGACTCTAAAGCATTCATCTACTCCTATCTCAGCTGTCGCTAATTCAGGTAATCCAAACACATGTCTTGTGTCTTCATCCTCAAAATGGGTTATCGATTCAGGGGCAACAGATCATATGACAGGTAATCCTAGTCTTTTTTTGTCACGCCCCAGACCGCGTCTGTGCCACGTGGACAACCGTCGTACAATCCAATAAGAATAACCGCAGTTCATCCTTACCGAATTGCACAAGACGTCCGATAGATACATATGCCAAAACCGATTAGTAAACATACATAACAACATCAACATACAATCAAACACATAGCGGAATATAAGTGTTTAATAAGAACCCACACAAGGGTAAAACAAGAGCTCGCAGGCTCCATTAATTTATAAGTCAAAATAGTTCCATGAGCATTATTTAATTATTTAGAAATAGAACCGGAGGAAGCACGAACCACGTCTTCTCTCCATCGATCTCCCGAGCAACGGGTGCAGGAAGTAAGCTCTAGCTTCAACCTGAAAGGGTGGTTCCCCCGAGGGATCAGTACTACAGAAAAGTACTGGTGAGGGCAAACTGTATGTAATGTAACTAACGTTTCTCACGTGAGACCCTCAAAATAGGGTGATAGTATAATTATGGGCATAACTCTTAGCTACCCCTTTTCAAAACAAAATGTATACATATATACATATGAGTAAAATATCTGGCCCGTGGGCCCATTTGTCCTTCAAATCATTTAGGCGTAACAACCTCATTAAATTCACCCTTCCCATGTCTTACCCTCGAGTGGAGTCACCCGCAGGCTAACTCACTCGATACCAAAATATAATTACTGTGGGGCCCTTCGGACTCCCATATCACGGACATGGTTTAAATCAATCCCTAGTCCAAGGAAAATATTATATCGGAAACTCGTTCCCGATCAAGCACGTTTAATCATTTAAAATCATTACCTCGAGGTCCACCTACCTCGAGCACTATCCATCCTCGCTATCATAGTTTTCATTTCCGGGTTAACCCCGCCTCGAGGAGTACGCATACACCTTATCCTATGTGTAATTTACTGGAGGTTAACACACCTCAAGGACTACACGGGCCCTTGTTACCTATATGCACTTCGATGGAGGTTAACACACCTCAAGGACTGCATTTGTCCTTGTTACCTATATGCAATTTGATGGAGGTTAAACACACCTCAAGGACTGCATTTGCCCTTGTTACCTATATGCAATTTGATGGAGGTTAAACACACCTCAAGGACTGCATTTGCCCTTGTTACCTATATGCACTTTGATGGAGGTTAAACACACCTCAAGGACTGCATTTGCCCTTGTTACCTATATGCAATTTGATGGAGGTTAAACACACCTCAAGGACTGCATTTGCCCTTGTTACCTATATGCACTTTGATGGAGGTTAAACACACCTCAAGGACTGCATTTGCCCTTGTTACCTATATGCAATTTGATGGAGGTTAAACACACCTCAAGGACTGCATTTGCCCTTGTTACCTATGTGTACTTTACTGGAGGTTAAACACACCTCAAGGACTACACTTGCCCTTGTTACCTTATCTTGCCTTGCAAGTTCCTTAACAATATAGTTTGTATCATCATACTCAAATCAACTTAGGGCTGACCTTTACCAAGGCTTCCCTCTTACCTCGAACCATGAATGGACCGCTCCGGATCCAAGTCATGCTCATACAACTAGTGTCGGGTCCCGCCAGAACCCGAATTACTAATCGAGACATTTAAACTTAACAATTACATTACCGACCTTAGTCGTGAAAACCCTCGGTCAACTATAGGTCAAATATAATTTTAAAGTTGGTACCCAACTTAAGCTATCAACCCACGGGCTAGCCTCGCACCGACTACCCGCTCGAGTTCATTGTTCGGAATTAAGTAGCTCCGACCGGCGCCGGACATTCCCCAACCGGCGCCGGACCTAGGCATGTATTACTCGGAAAAACCGGTCCAGCCGGCGCCGGACATCAGTCCACCGGCGCCGGATTTGCTTCATTTGGCCGGCAAAAATACACATAACCGGCGCCGGACCCTGCCCAACCGGCGCCGGACGTTGCCACCCCCAAAGGCCAAGACCGCCTGTGTTGAACCGGGGCCGGACGTCCCCTGACCGGCGCCGGTCAACGCCCGGTCAACGGCCAAAAACTTTGGTCAACTCCCGTTTGACCATCCAAACGGGGTTTGATTTCCACGAAATTTTACACACTTATACAACAAGTCATTCTTAGTCCAAAAATATCATCTTGGACGTCCAAATAATCACACATAATTTATAATCATTTTCTGTCCAAATTAAAGCACATAAAGTATACTTATTAATACCATTAATAAGTAAATATTGCCTTAATACATTCTTGGATGTATTTTAACATTTCATGGAATATCCTTCTGATTTATTTGAGTAATCTCATGACCAAGTCCAAAGCATGGCTCATGATCCTTTCTTACAACCTTTTATTCATACCATTAATTGGTTAATCATTAATTATGTCATATTTCCATAATCCATAATTAATATGGCTAATCCCAAGTTCACATATCTTTTTATATATTTCTTTTACTAGATTACTCTAGTTAATCACATGCGTAGTCCAAGTATAATTCCTGAAATATATACTCATGATTAATTAATAAATTAATCTATTTTTTTCCATTAGTCACATAATACTTCAAAGTCCATATTTAACATGATTAATCACAAGTTCACATACCTTTCTTTATATATATATATATTTATTTACTAGATTCCTCTAGTTAATCCCATACATGGTCCAAATATACCTTCTTATACATTTAAGAGATATATTCTTGATTAATTAATAAATTAATCTATTTTTCATTAATCATATTCACCATGGCTAATCATGCATTTTAATACATTTAATCATTCTTCAAATCATGGTTATGATTTTATTTAGGTAATCCCACGTTTGAACCAAGAGTTACAAGACACGTAGTCGTCCACTCACCTTGAAATGACGCTAGCAAGCTTTTATCCTCTTTGTTTGAACTCCGGCGACCTTTGAATTTTCCGGCGAATACTCCGGCGGCTCCGGCGACTTTCCGACCACTCCTAGATTCCTTGAGAAGTCTAGAATGCCTTGGTAAAATTCCTAACAAGGTTTCACAACCAAAAATGGTATAAACATCAAAACCTTCCGAGAAGGTGTTTTCCGGCAAACCGGTCTTACTCCGGTCATAACTCCGTTCATGGTTAAACTTATCCCTCCAAACCCTCATTCTACACCTCTATAAGTGTAGAACAAGTTTAAGGGTCCATCATATGATTTATAAAATCATATGAGATTAAATGGAGGATTAAAAATGTTAATGAGATCATTACCTTAAAAAATCAAGGTTTTTCTCTTCTTTTCTCACTCTTTCTTCTTCCTTGGACCTTCTTCAACCTTGAGCTCGGTTGTAGCTATGGAGGTAAGCATTTGCAGAGCTCTTCCCTCTCTCTTGGGTAGGTTTGGCCGAAATAATGGGGGTGTGGGGTGTGAGGAGATAGGTTTTGGCCTTTAACACCAAATGAGGTGGAGAGGGTCCCCTTTCCTTTCTAATTAATTCTCATGCATCCCCCCATCACTCTCCAGCACTTCAACATGGCTCTCCTCACTCATTTGAGACCATAAGTCGTGGGGTGGCCCCCACTCATGTGGGAGGCCATCCCTTTATGTCCAAAAGTGTACAATCGATACCGAAAGTTGTATTTTTGGACTGTTTTAATTAAATTTCATTTTATCGGGTCAAGTAAAATATATATCATTCTTCCAATTAATATTGGACTCTAAAATGAATATATATTACCCAACTTCAATTTAGTGGTCCCCGGAATTTATTTCGGGCTGTTATCTGATTAATTAACTATACCGATAATGGGACCTTGTTTGATCGAAAGGCCAACTTTATGGCTCAACATTAATTTACACCATCATATAAATATTATCTAAATCAAGATGAATATAATATGTGGTCCATAAATATCGGATGGTCGCCGCCCACGTGTGGGCCCAACGTGTATTTTACTATTGAAGTAACAGTAAAAATGAGAACGCGTTGCCTCGAAAATTCACTCGTCATTTCTCATTACTTAATATGTGGTTTCATATTTGGTGACACTTTAATAAAATGTTACACTTATTTTTAAGTGGTCCGAACTGTATGAACAGATAAAATCTTATCTGTTTATTCTTATACAAAATATCTCCAAGGTAGGGTCCTCCAAAAGTACCCACCTCTAACATGTCAAGTTGCTCATTATTATCCATCATCCCATGTTTTGGGTTCTTAAAATATTTATATTCCTTCTGTTATTAATTCGTAGCCTTCCGAATTATTATCAGTCCGATAATTAATGATTCACAATTATCGGATAGTGACCCCGGCCCGCTTGGCCATCTAGTTGTCGTTCTTTATATCACTGGGGTCCATGACCCATCGCTACTATCATAATAATATCATTTTGATAAACATTAATATTTTATAAACTCAAAATATCATGAGTGGTCCCCACGTCTAAATTAATAATCCTTTATTAATTTAAGACAAAATTTTTACTTTCTCATTTATCAAGACTACTCTTAGCCTCGATTTACCTTCTTTAACCCAGTACTTGATGAAAAAAAAAAATTCTCACAGTAAAATTCGGGTCCGGTGTTACAAGTTCACCCCACCTTACAGGAATTTCGTCCCCGAAATTAACGTCTGAACCTTGAGAAACATTTCTCCCTTCATTTTCTGAAGCAAAAAATTTTGAACATAAAAATATTTATGGAAATTAAGGTTTAATTTAATAATACCTTATGCCATAGTCGGGCCTAACAAATGGCTTCCGCCATTTCCGGCCTTCACGAGCGAGTTCGCCATTGACTTGTAGAAGGTACCATGTTTGAGGCAACCCTAGTTGGGTTTTCAACCCCCGTGACCCCTCCTCTAGCTCCTGATGTTCCTTCACGCGTACGTTGAGGACAAAGGACCTTGATGTGGCCTGTTTCTCCACAAAAGTAACATCTAGATGGCTCTCGACATCTCCCGTAGTGCCTTCGCCTACAATTCTCACATTTGGGTGCCCCCGTGCCCCGAGTGCTTGAGCTTTGACTTACCAAGTTCTGACTCTCACTGAAAAACGGAACTAACTTGTTAGAGTCCTCCTTGCTCTGAAGTTCATACTTCCCCTCTCGTCGTGGAGGGTGAATCATCACTTGATCTCTTTCTTGTGCTTCCTTTGCATCCCTTGCTTGCCTTTCCTTCCAAAGCTCCTCCCCCTGGAGACCTTGGGTTACTACTTGACTAAAAGTCATGTTGAATTGGTAGGTCGCTCTTTCGCGTATTTCCAAATTGAGTGCATTCCAAAAATGGTTTGTCATTCGGTTCTCATTTGCGGCATACTCAGGCAAGAACCTTGCCAGATGTCGGAATCTTTGTTCCAGTTGCTTCACCGTAAACTCATTTCCCTGTTTGAGATCGATATATTCCCTCCTCTTTCGATTTACTTCGAAAGAGGTGTAAAACTGCTCATAGAATGCTTGCTCGAAGTTGTCCCACGTGACCACCCTGTCAAACTTACCCTTGGTGCCTTCCCACCAAGTAGAAGCTAAACCCTCCAATAATCTAGTGGCTACCCTTAACTTTCGTTCAGGGACCACCTGCATGTCCTCAGCTGCATCATTTAACCTTTTTATCCACTCGGCTGCTTCTGATATGTCCCCCGTCCCATCAAATGGTTTGCACCCCAAGGCTCTAGCCTCTTTGAGATACTTTGAGATCCTAAAGAATGGTCCTTCGCCATCAGAATCTCTGACTGTCCTAACCTGTGCTGTAAGAGCACCCCGAACCCTCATGAGGGAGGTCTCGCCTCTGACGTGTCCCTCCTGAGATCCCTGTCGTTGTCTTCCCATTTCACGTTGGTACCATCGGTACATTTCACTAACATGGTCCGGAGGAATACTACGTATATCCTCTCCACTGTTTTCCTCAAAGGAAGTTTCATCTGACTCGCTTTCAGGGTGATAAGTTGAGTCATCCTCCGAGTTCCACGACTCGAATTCAGTCACATTGTGATCAGCCATCGCAGCTCGTTTTTGTGGGCCTTGATTGCCCATACCTCGCCTTTTACGTGACCTTGATATCCCCCGATTGGCTTGCCCGGCTATCCCCGGTGCGCGCCGTCTCGGATTTCCTCGAACCGCCCTATCGCTACCACCCATTCCTGAAAGAATATGTTGGAATGAGTCTTTGGACTCGTTTGAATGTCAATTGACAGAAACGTACTCAAGACACAACTTGGCTCAAGTCACTGCCATACCAATTGTTAAGGGGCCCATCTTAACAACCAGAGACCTTGCAACTCGATAACCAATTGCTCTTAAAGTACAAAACTTATGCTCATGGTTTTTCATTGAAAACTGTTTTGATAGAAACTCTGTTGAGAGGTTGACTATATAGTTTAGAAATCGTTTGGCTCTGATACCACTTAATTGTCACGCCCCAGACCGCGTCTGTGCCACGTGGACAACCGTCGTACAATCCAATAAGAATAACCGCAGTTCATCCTTACCGAATTGCACAAGACGTCCGATAGATACATATGCCAAAACCGATTAGTAAACATACATAACAACATCAACATACAATCAAACACATAGCGGAATATAAGTGTTTAATAAGAACCCACACAAGGGTAAAACAAGAGCTCGCAGGCTCCATTAATTTATAAGTCAAAATAGTTCCATGAGCATTATTTAATTATTTAGAAATAGAACCGGAGGAAGCACGAACCACGTCTTCTCTCCATCGATCTCCCGAGCAACGGGTGCAGGAAGTAAGCTCTAGCTTCAACCTGAAAGGGTGGTTCCCCCGAGGGATCAGTACTACAGAAAAGTACTGGTGAGGGCAAACTGTATGTAATGTAACTAACGTTTCTCACGTGAGACCCTCAAAATAGGGTGATAGTATAATTATGGGCATAACTCTTAGCTACCCCTTTTCAAAACAAAATGTATACATATATACATATGAGTAAAATATCTGGCCCGTGGGCCCATTTGTCCTTCAAATCATTTAGGCGTAACAACCTCATTAAATTCACCCTTCCCATGTCTTACCCTCGAGTGGAGTCACCCGCAGGCTAACTCACTCGATACCAAAATATAATTACTGTGGGGCCCTTCGGACTCCCATATCACGGACATGGTTTAAATCAATCCCTAGTCCAAGGAAAATATTATATCGGAAACTCGTTCCCGATCAAGCACGTTTAATCATTTAAAATCATTACCTCGAGGTCCACCTACCTCGAGCACTATCCGTCCTCGCTATCATAGTTTTCATTTCCGGGTTAACCCCGCCTCGAGGAGTACGCATACACCTTATCCTATGTGTAATTTACTAGAGGTTAACACACCTCAAGGACTACACGGGCCCTTGTTACCTATATGCACTTCGATGGAGGTTAACACACCTCAAGGACTGCATTTGTCCTTGTTACCTATATGCAATTTGATGGAGGTTAAACACACCTCAAGGACTGCATTTGCCCTTGTTACCTATATGCAATTTGATGGAGGTTAAACACACCTCAAGGACTGCATTTGCCCTTGTTACCTATATGCACTTTGATGGAGGTTAAACACACCTCAAGGACTGCATTTGCCCTTGTTACCTATATGCAATTTGATGGAGATTAAACACACCTCAAGGACTGCATTTGCCCTTGTTACCTATATGCACTTTGATGGAGGTTAAACACACCTCAAGGACTGCATTTGCCCTTGTTACCTATATGCAATTTGATGGAGGTTAAACACACCTCAAGGACTGCATTTGCCCTTGTTACCTATGTGTACTTTACTGGAGGTTAAACACACCTCAAGGACTACACTTGCCCTTGTTACCTTATCTTGCCTTGCAAGTTCCTTAACAATATAGTTTGTATCATCATACTCAAGTCAACTTAGGGCTGACCTTTACCAAGGCTTCCCTCTTACCTCGAACCATGAATGGACCGCTCCGGATCCAAGTCATGCTCATACAACTAGTGTCGGGTCCCGCCAGAACCCGAATTACTAATCGAGACATTTAAACTTAACAATTACATTACCGACCTTAGTCGTGAAAACCCTCGGTCAACTATAGGTCAAATATAATTTTAAAGTTGGTACCCAACTTAAGCTATCAACCCACGGGCTAGCCTCGCACCGACTACCCGCTCGAGTTCATTGTTCGGAATTAAGTAGCTCCGACCGGCGCCGGACATTCCCCAACCGGCGCCGGACCTAGGCATGTATTACTCGGAAAAACCGGTCCAGCCGGCGCCGGACATCAGTCCACCGGCGCCGGATTTGCTTCATTTGGCCGGCAAAAATACACATAACCGGCGCCGGACCGTGCCCAACCGGCGCCGGACGTTGCCACCCCCCAAAGGCCAAGACCGCCTGTGTTGAACCGGGGCCGGACGTCCCCTGACCGGCGCCGGTCAACGCCCGGTCAACGGCCAAAAACTTTGGTCAACTCCCGTTTGACCATCCAAACGGGGTCCGATTTCCACGAAATTTTACACACTTATACAACAAGTCATTCTTAGTCCAAAAATATCATCTTGGACGTCCAAATAATCACACATAATTTATAATCATTTTCTGTCCAAATTAAAGCACATAAAGTATACTTATTAATGCCATTAATAAGTAAATATTGCCTTAATACATTCTTGGATGTATTTTAACATTTCATGGAATATCCTTCTGATTTATTTGAGTAATCTCATGACCAAGTCCAAAGCATGGCTCATGATCCTTTCTTACAACCTTTTATTCATACCATTAATTGGTTAATCATTAATTATGTCATATTTCCATAATCCATAATTAATATGGCTAATCCCAAGTTCACATATCTTTTTATATATTTCTTTTACTAGATTACTCTAGTTAATCACATGCGTAGTCCAAGTATAATTCCTTATACATTTAAGAAATATATACTCATGATTAATTAATAAATTAATCTATTTTTTTCCATTAGTCACATAATACTTCAAAGTCCATATTTAACATGATTAATCACAAGTTCACATACCTTTCTTTTTATATATATATTTATTTACTAGATTCCTCTAGTTAATCCCATACATGGTCCAAATATACCTTCTTATACATTTAAGAGATATATTCTTGATTAATTAATAAATTAATCTATTTTTCATTAATCATATTCACCATGGCTAATCATGCATTTTAATACATTTAATCATTCTTCAAATCATGGTTATGATTTTATTTAGGTAATCCCACGTTTGAACCAAGAGTTACAAGACACGTAGTCGTCCACTCACCTTGAAATGACGCTAGCAAGCTTTTATCCTCTTTGTTTGAACTCCGGCGACCTTTGAATTTTCCGGCGAATACTCCGGCGGCTCCGGCGACTTTCCGACCACTCCTAGATTCCTTGAGAAGTCTAGAATGCCTTGGTAAAATTCCTAACAAGGTTTCACAACCAAAAGTGGTATAAACATCAAAACCTTCCGAGAAGGTGTTTTCCGGCAAACCGGTCTTACTCCGGTCATAACTCCGTTCATGGTTAAACTTATCCCTCCAAACCCTCATTCTACACCTCTATAAGTGTAGAACAAGTTTAAGGGTCCATCATATGATTTATAAAATCATATGAGATTAAATGGAGGATTAAAAATGTTAATGAGATCATTACCTTAAAAAATCAAGGTTTTTCTCTTCTTTTCTCACTCTTTCTTCTTCCTTGGACCTTCTTCAACCTTGAGCTCGGTTGTAGCTATGGAGGTAAGCATTTGCAGAGCTCTTCCCTCTCTCTTGGGTAGGTTTGGCCGAAATAATGGGGGTGTGGGGTGTGAGGAGATAGGTTTTGGCCTTTAACACCAAATGAGGTGGAGAGGGTCCCCTTTCCTTTCTAATTAATTCTCATGCATCCCCCCATCACTCTCCAGCACTTCAACATGGCTCTCCTCACTCATTTGAGACCATAAGTCGTGGGGTGGCCCCCACTCATGTGGGAGGCCATCCCTTTATGTCCAAAAGTGTACAATCGATACCGAAAGTTGTATTTTTGGACTGTTTTAATTAAATTTCATTTTATCGGGTCAAGTAAAATATATATCATTCTTCCAATTAATATTGGACTCTAAAATGAATATATATTACCCAACTTCAATTTAGTGGTCCCCGGAATTTATTTCGGGCTGTTATCTGATTAATTAACTATACCGATAATGGGACCTTGTTTGATCGAAAGGCCAACTTTATGGCTCAACATTAATTTACACCATCATATAAATATTATCTAAATCAAGATGAATATAATATGTGGTCCATAAATATCGGATGGTCGCCGCCCACGTGTGGGCCCAACGTGTATTTTACTATTGAAGTAACAGTAAAAATGAGAACGCGTTGCCTCGAAAATTCACTCGTCATTTCTCATTAATTAATATGTGGTTTCATATTTGGTGACACTTTAATAAAATGTTACACTTATTTTTAAGTGGTCCGAACTGTATGAACAGATAAAATCTTATCTGTTTATTCTTATACAAAATATCTCCAAGGTAGGGTCCTCCAAAAGTACCCACCTCTAACATGTCAAGTTGCTCATTATTATCCATCATCCCATGTTTTGGGTTCTTAAAATATTTATATTCCTTCTGTTATTAATTCGTAGCCTTCCGAATTATTATCAGTCCGATAATTAATGATTCACAATTATCGGATAGTGACCCCGGCCCGCTTGGCCATCTAGTTGTCGTTCTTTATATCACTGGGGTCCATGACCCATCGCTACTATCATAATAATATCATTTTGATAAACATTAATATTTTATAAACTCAAAATATCATGAGTGGTCCCCACGTCTAAATTAATAATCCTTTATTAATTTAAGACAAAATTTTTACTTTCTCATTTATCAAGACTACTCTTAGCCTCGATTTACCTTCTTTAACCCAGTACTTGATGAAAAAAAAAAATTCTCACAGTAAAATTCGGGTCCGGTGTTACATTTTTCCTCATTCCACACACCTCTTCATACTTCTAGTGTTACTTTGGCTGACGGATCTACGTCACCAGTTCTTAAAACGGGTACAATTGTCCCAACACCTACCTTACCTTTGTCACCCGTCCTAAGTCTTCCAAACTTTGCCTTTAATTTGATTTCGATCAGCAAAATCACACGTAATCTTAATTGCTCTGTAACTTTTTTTCCTGGATATTGTGTTTTTCAGGATCTGGTGACGAATCGGGTTATTAGTAAAGGATATGAGTCGGATGGTCTCTATCTCTTGGATACATCCTTACCCAAATCCATCTCCTGTCTTGGAGTTGGAACTGTGTTAGAGGCTCATTATCGACTAGGCCATCCCTCTCTCCCGTTGTTAAAGAAACTTCATCCTCAATTTAATAAGGTGTCATCTTTACAGTGTGATTCATGTCAATTTGCAAAACATCATCGAACTAGTTTAAGTCCCCGAGTCAATAAACGAGCACATGCTCCTTTTGAACTTGTTCATTCTGATGTTTGGGGCGCTTGCCCTGTTGTGTCCAAAACTGGTGTTAAGTATTTTGTTACCTTTGTTGATGATTATTCTCGTATGACTTGGATATATTTCATGAAACGTCGGTCTGAGTTATTTTCTCATTTCTGTGCCTTTTGTGCTGAAATTAAAACTCAATTTAATGTACATGTTCGTATTTTAAGGGGAGACAATGCTCAAGAATATTTGTCTTCCTCATTTAAGTCGTATATGGCTCAACATGGCATCATTCATCAAACTTCATGTGTAGACACACCTCCACAAAATGGATTTGCTGAACGAAAGAACAGACATCTATTAGAAACTGCGCGGGCTCTTCTATTCCAAATGAATGTGCCTAAACCGTTTTGGGCAGATGTTGTGTCTACCGCATGTTTTTTGATCAATAGAATGCCATCTACTGTTTTGGATGGTAAAACTCCATATCAGTGCCTATTTCCAAATAATGAAAATTTTCCTATCCCTCCTAAAATATTTGGTTGCACTTGTTTTGTACGAGATGTTAATCCCCATTTAACAAAGTTAGATCCCAAGTCATTAAAGTGCATTTTCTTAGGCTACTCTCGAGTTCAAAAGGGTTACACACTAGTAGAAAACAGGCTTATAGTGACACTTTGTTTGTGACACTTTTTAATATAGTGTCACTAAAATACGACATATGTTTTTTACGATGTATATGTGTCATTAGTTTCTGACACAATTGCATCAATATCAGATAGTGACGTTCATACCCTATTTTATTTTCTTTTAACATTATTTTGTCATATTTTAACACTTAAAATAAGTTTTCTTACTCTGGTCTCTAAGAGCAATTAATCAACTTTAAGAGCACTTTTTCTCTCTTCATTCGCAAACCTAGCCAGAATACCGTGGAGCTCAAATTCAAGCTGGCCGATGGTGATGGCTCGTTTGCCTTCGTCAATGCCATCGAGGTCATTCAAACGCTAGACATCTTTGGTTTAGTCTCGATTTACATGGCTGGATTTCCGGACCGAACCCTAACAGTGGACGACAAGCAAATGGAGATGATGTACATGTGGAACGTCGGGGGCCAATACATTCTTCCCGTCAACGAATCCGGCGGGCTAATGCGTAGCTGGTTCGAGGATTCCCCTTTCGTGTTCGAGAAGTTTAACCTAACCTGGGTATTCCTGGTCGACGACAATTTCTCATATCTTCTGCGGTTCCACTGGTGCGAAAACATGGAAAACGTGACCAAGGTAAACCAGATCGTCTTCAATGTGTACGTGAACAACCCTAGCCAGGTTGTGATTATTCGAAGTCTCTTTTTTCTTTGAATTCGTTTTATGATTACAAACTTTGATTTCCCCCAATTTATGAGACGTTTTCATTGGTCACTTACTTACTTTGTGCTCAAATGTCCTGAAAACCCCTGTTAATAATATTCAGATTCCTGTTGATAATATGCTTTTGATTGGGAGTCCTGATATTGATGCTACAGACCCGTGTTTTGTCCCTGTTAATGCTTCTTTCGTTTGTGAAGTACAGGTCCCCCATGCTAAGGGTAATGCCTTAGCTAACTGTGAACCTCAGACCTCTCTAGATTGTGGTGTTGCTGCCTTGGTTGGTTGTGCTGTGGCTGGCCCAATTAACTTTGCTGCTGCAGCTAGCCCCAATTGCATCCCATATTAAAGCCCTTACGGATGCTGCAACTGTAGCCCCAATTGCATCCCATATTAAAGCCCTTACGGATGCTGCAACTGTAGCCACAACTGCAGACCATATTGGTGCCTTTAATGCTTGTGAATCTATCTCTTTGGATGGCTTTTCTGATGCTGCAACAACAACCCCAATTGCAGCCCATATTGATGTTCCTAATGCTAGTGCATATGTCCCTTTTGATGTCATTACTAATGGTGCAACTGCAGCCCAATTGATGCCTGTAATGCTTGTAAATCTGTCCCTTGTGATGCCTTTACTAAAGCTACAACACGAGCCTCAACTGCAGCCCATATTGATGTTTCTAGTACTTGTGAATCAGTCCCTAGTGTGGAACGCCCCACTTTGGTCATGCTTAAGAAGGAAGAAGAAAAGGTTGCCCATTATGGTTAGTTTATCTTGTATTTTTTATTTTCTAATCAGGTATTAAAAAGCAATATTGTTCTGTATATGAACGCTTTAAACATTTAAGAAAAGGAGCTGACTGTTGATTCATGAGTGTTATCTGACATTCTATGCAAAGGGTGTCCTCACGAAGTCGGGTATAGTTGCATTTGTTTATGCAAACAAGCTTCCTTAGGTGATAACATTTACTAGAGAAAGTGCACCTTTACTCTTTGGAAGTCCAATCAAGAAACAGGTAATAGGCTGCTTTACAGGATGTGAGACTATCAATTGAGACCTTTAGTATAGAGATAGATTTTTTCTATGAACATTTCCAAACAGCAGAAGTTGTGGTGGTGCATATTTAATTGATTTAAGGCATTGTATTCACAGGTGATGCTATTTACCACTGCTAATGATACTGCAACGTTCTTGTCGATCTTCCAAAGTGCTGCAAAGTTCTTCAAGGGAAAGTTACCACATCCCCATGTGCAAATTTAAAAAGAAGGAAATGAAAAAATAGAAATCAGAAGTGCCAACTAAAAGGGAAAAAAACATTACTTTACCATCTTTGCTTAGCGACGGGGTGCGAGTTATTGACCCACTTTCATTCCATTCATTTGTCTGAACTTCATGTTAATAAAGCTTTTTTTTTTTTTTTTTTGATCCCGGTGAGCAAACCACCAAAATCAGTGGGGCAAACGCCGGGGAACGTTTGCCAGGTTTTATTTAAAAATATAATAAGTACAAAATGAGAGGGGGACCAAACCAAAACCTCTCTGGAGGCATTCCTCCAGCAACAGATAATGAATAAAAGAAATGGAATATTGGGGTTAGAACTGACCCAAAAATTCCAAAAAAACTCTAAAGAAATAAAAGAAAACTAATTCCTAAAAGTAGGAACACAATTTTTATCTAAATCAATTAAAGCATGAATATGAGAAGGAACAAGAATAGAAGATGCGTAATTTCTTAATTCGGTCTCTTCCAGACCAAGTCGAGCAAAGGTATGAGCAATAATATTCATTTCCCTGAAAATATGTTGGATTCGAACATCACAAGATTGACATATCGTTTGAGCTTCCTCAATCGATTTCTGCAAATAAGCCGGTGCTATAGCTTTCTTCTTCAAAATCCTTGACGTCATCTCTGAATCTGTTTCCAATTGAAGATCCGAATAGCCAGACCGAGCACACCATTGAAGAGCAAGTAAAACAACAAGAACTTCAGCTTATTTCTTTAATTTTAATAG